ACAAATTGCGTATTTTGGACACGTTCAGGCCATACATCACAGGGTTAAAGAGCGGAGGACACGTCAGAAAGTACAGAGATAACAGTATTTGAAGCACCCGGGGAACGCTGCTCATGTTGAACCTGCTCTGGATTATTTCAAACACACATCCAACGCAGAAGTTAATGATAGAGGCCAGGTGAGGGGTGCAGGTGCCGACTGCTTTCTGTCGGGTCTGTTTGGACCCAGAAAAACATACCTTCAAAATCCTCATGTAGGTGTAGAGAATCAAACATACTGGAAGAAAAACGCTGAGAGCAGTGCTGATAAGGCCATAAATGTTATTCACTGTGGTATCAGAGCAAGCCAGTTTAACTATAGAGTAGTTGTTGCAGTAAACTTTGTTTATGATGCTTGCACAAAGCTGTAGAGAGAAACTTAAAGATGTTGTTATTATGACCAGGAGAAAGGCAGCAAACCATGAAGCTGAAGTAAGAACAGAGATCCTCTTCGCTCTCATCACTGCCTTATATCGCAGCGGGTAGCAGATAGCCACATAACGGTCATAGGACATGACAGCTAAGATGAAGAACTCCACAGTTGCATAGCTGTGGATACAGAAGATCTGCAGGAAACAGAGAGGAGCAGCAATAGTGTGAACATTGGAGAGTATCTGAACTAGCAGGAGGGGAAACAAGGCTGTGCTGCCATACAGCTCATTCACAAATAGGCTGCACAGAAACATGTACATGGGTTCATGTAGGCTCCTGTTCACACAGATTACCACAATCAGCAGGATGTTAGAACCAATGATCAGAACATACAGACACAGGACGACAAGGAAGAACAAGTATTTCAACAGCTTGGTGTCAAAGTAAGCCCCTAAAGTCAAAAATAAAACCTGTGTCGAGTTCATAATGATTATTTGCTGCATATAGAGTTCAGCTGGTTTGAAAAAAAAAGGAATTAAAACAAACACTTCCTTTCTTGCTTAAACTGGTGGTAACAACCTTCACCTCTCAAACAATCAGTCAGAGTCAGTCTAACCAGACAGACTCTGTGGCTCATGACATGATGAGCAGCCGAGTCCTGTGGGCCTACAATCTGCAGTCTTTAATCCCTTCCGCTTTTTTTCCACATTAGCAGACTGATGCAATCTTTAAAGATAATTACAGTTTAGCTCTGATTCTGAAAAAAACTTTAGATAGGGTTAAGCGAAATAAAAACCATAATAGATGATTTTAAGGATCTTCATTCCATCCCTATAAAAATATAAAAAAATCAGGTCCCATATTAAAAACCTAAATTCATATATTTTATAGGGGGAAGTGGGCGGCCTAGTGGTTAGGTAATTACGCTCAGAATCCAGAACTTCTGAGTTAAAGCCCCACTCCCACAGACTCCCATTCTTGGTCCCTGAGCAAGACCCTTAACCCCACTCTGCTCCCTGGCGGCTGTACAATCTTAGTCCACTGCTCCCCGAGGGGATGGGTTAAGTGCAGAGAGTTCATTTTGTTTCTATGTACTTCTGACAGTTTCATTACCATAAAAGCTGAAAAAGTTGTATAACCAATTCATTATTCACAGAATGAAGTAATTGCTGTCTTTAATCATAAAAAAGAAAATGTGAAATTCACTCTCTGCATTTGACCCATCCCCTTGGGAAGCAGTGGGCTGCCATTGCGTGTTCCCCAGGGAGCAGTGTGGGGTTAAGGCTCTTTCTTAGGAACCCAGAGTGGATAATGTGGGGATTGAACCAGCTAATTGCATTGATTGAAAAGGGGCCCTGCCTGATTCTGGTATCGCTGCAACACTACTTATAGTTTGAGTTCACCTTCAACTTTTACACACATCCAAACCAGGCAGAGGAACAGACAGTCATCTCCAGTGTGAGATCAATCAAGTTCAATTATTATTATTCTTTCAGATGGAAAGCATAAATTTATTTTAAAAAATAAATTCTAAAATTAAAAGATTAAGTACATTAGTCTTTATTTTAGTTATTGCTAATTCCACTTTTAGTCACTTGGTGCATGTTGTTAACCTGACTCCGCCAGATGTATTTGCTCCGCATATCTATCTGGAAACCTTC